TAGTACGATGGCAAAGCGAAGGCCTATTGTGTGTTCACTTATCGCATGACTAGTGGTGGTACTATGATTTCGATTTGCGTTTCCGCGGATCGTGGTCGATGGGACTGGAGATTGGGATGGGTACTCAGGACGAGGCTGATGACCTCGGTCAGCTAAGCTGACTCAGCTTTTCGAGAATGGGTCTAAACTCTCTGACTCATTTCATACCGCTCGGCCTGTCGTATCAGTGTACGATCTCTCTGGATCGTCATCCAGCACTAACTGTGCTCCTACCGTCTTTCAGGCCCCTTTGAGGCCTGTGAGGTACCTGAGCTTCCTCTCGTCCTCTCTGAGGGTGTTGAGTCTGTTCAGAAGACTAAGGATGCCGTTGCCGTCCTTGAGGCCCTTGGTGCAGGTGCCGACGTCCAGAGGGTTAAGGATTCTAAGAAGATCCGTGCTGGTGCCGGTAAGATGCGTAACCGTCGTTATGTCATGCGTCGTGGTCCTCTTGTCGTCTATGCCGAGGATGATGGTCTTACCAAGGCCTTCCGTAACATCCCCGGTATCGAGCTCTGCCAGGTTGATCGTCTCAACCTCTTGCAGGTTGCTCCTGGTGGCACTTTCGGCAGATTCATTATCTGGACTCAGCCTGCCTTCGACCGTCTCCAGCAGCTCTTCGGTTCCTACAGGTCCGGTGCTGCCTTGAAGTCTGGTTACAGGCTTCCTAGGCCTTTGATGACTAATGCTGATGTGGCTAAGATCATCAACTCTGAGGAGGTTCAGGCTGTCTGCCGTCCTGCTCTTGCTCCTGCTCGCCGTGTTGGCCAGAAGAAGAATGCCCTGAAGAACCGCCAGATGATGGCCAAGCTTAACCCTGGTGCTCTTCATCGTGCTAAGCTGCGTGCTCAGGCCCAGCAGGAGGGTACTCAGGCTCATGCTCAGAAGGTTGCTGCTATCCGTGCCCGTGCTGAGCAGGCTAAGAAGAGCGCTAATGTCGGTAAGACTTTCTACAAGGAGCTCACTGCTGCATATCAGCCCACCGTCGAGAGCG